GAAAGGCCTACCAGGTCCCTTTCTCCACCTGGTAACTTTTCCTGCCTGTTTGAGCTGAAATGGCTCTGAACCACAGAAGGACATTGTCAGATTTCAGAGCTGTCACTTGTCTCCGGCTGCATGGCGAGGCGAGCATCTTAGGAAAAGCATCTGGTGACAGGCAAAGGTCCGTTACCTTCTGCTGGCAGCAGAGGCCACTTAGTCTGGGTCGAGACTCCGGAGAATGACTCTTCCTCTGCTCTGAAGGTGCAGCCTGCATCCTTTGCTCTTTTCCACTGAGTCACCCTCCAAAGATTTACCCCCAGGGCCCATTATGTACTCTTCATTATCTACTACTTCCCCCTCCCTCCAGGATATCTGCATATTTTAGCAGTGACATTTTTTCTACTTGCTTCCAAGTCTTTCCTAAAAATTCCCAAATAATAAGAGTCTGGAGCAGATGCATAACTAAAGATCACGTGCAAGAAATGGAAAAGGACCAGAGCGCTTAGGGAATCTTCCCTTCCACTCTCCTGTCTGCCCCAAGGTGATCAGACACCGGAAAGAGCTGGAAACTCCTCATCCAGCCAAGATCTGTGCTGGGAAATCCCTAAGGCGGCACAGCCACCTCCCCAGTCCAGTAGCCTCCAAGCTTAGAGACTGGCCACTGGTACTGGTGTTCCCCCAGGTAAGGAGCATTGGGGTCTCGTTATTTCCACTAGACATATTTGATGAGAATCTGCACCTGAAAACACCCTACATGTTCAGGCTTGCAGTCAACAGGCTTCAATACAACAGCCCCCGTTGCCTCCATCCTGCTTCCATCTTCATGAGTTCAACCTCTGGGCAGGTTGACCACCCTTTGCCAAAGTCCGCAGTGACGTCGTACCTGGGTGGCGAGGTCCCTGTGTGCCTCTCTGACCCTGGGACATGGTGACCTGGTGACGCTGACCCTCTCTGCTCTGCTCTCCTGCCAACAAGTTTCAGAGCTGCTGCGTCAGGTCCTGTGCCCAGACTCCCGCATGGCCATTCGGCAGTGGAGTGAGGACCACCTGGAGCATAACAGCTGGGGACCAGAGTGGGGGACTCGGCATCCCGATTCTGTCCATAAAGCTTGGTACCAGGTCATTTCCAAGGGAATTAGCAGCCCAATGTCCAAAGAAAAAAGTGGAATGATGAAGAGATGTTCTCAACCACACCACGTTAACTAAATTTATTAGAAGAGGATTTGCACTGGCAGGTTGTGCCCAGATGGAAATGGGAGATCACGTTTCCCTTGAGGAAATTTTCATGACCAGCACCAAGAATATAAAACATCTGATTTCTTCTGCTTTACTGTTTCACAGATTCTCCCGGAGACAGAAGCAGAAACCGGCTGAAAACAGGCGCTGAAATTCACTGTGCATCCCGGCTTTTTCTCCTGCTCTAACAAACCCGGGGGAGTTTTTCTCTCCAGGCAGAGGAGTTGTCACAGTGACTGGCAAAGCCACACATCAGAAAACAGGATTCGCCTCCAAGTTACACATCAAAGCCTGAGCGAGGTATTAAACTCCCCACATAGTTGATGGAGTTAAATAAACGCCATCAGAGGGAGATTAATGTCGCTGCAAGGCAGTGCCTAAGATAAGCAGCATGTAGCATCCTCCAAAGACACCTCTCTCTTCCCGCTGCCTTTAGAAGGATCCGGGATGGTTGGTTTAGTCTAGAGACGTGATTTAGGAACCCAGAGATAAATCCCATCCCTGGTACCTTTCCCTGCTCACTGCTCTTTTGTCATGGGGACGAGATCATAACAGAGGAGATGAACAAATGACAGCCAGACACCTCCCATGCAGATTTCAAGTGGGAGGTCAGCATCTCATCCCTGGTAGCGCAGGCTGGGGAGGGAGGTTTCCTCCCAAAGGGATTTGGGAGCTGGGCAGTGGATATGCTCCCTTCCTTGGGACTGTTGAGAAAACTCTGCCGAGTGACTATCACATGGATTTTGCCTCTCAAACTTCCCGATGGGTAGAAATGGGCAGTCCAGAGCTGCCTATGGGAAAGCAGGTTGGAGCTTGTCAGCTTCCCCCACCCCGGTCCTGGAAGGACTCAGCAGCCGAGTCTAAATAAGCAAACCTGCCAAAGTTCAGTCCCAGTTTAAGGCCTCTCTATCAGCAGGGTCTTTTTCACGAGCTGTTTCTGTTTGCCTTTCCTCTCCAGGTAGTGTGTTCAGCTGCAACCAGCAAATGCTCTAGGACCTTATTTTTGGGACTTAAACCCTTCAATGGCCACTTTGCTCTTTGAAACATTTCATTTTCCCCCACCCTGGCTAAAGGGCCAAAGCTTTCTGTGTTCAGCAGAGCTTCCATCTCTCAGTGCACGTTGGCAGAGCAGAAGTCCCTCAGGCCCGTGCATCCCAGGAGGAGAAGCCGATGCCGGAAGACTCTCCCCAGTTAATGGTGTCACACACTATGAGGTACATCTTGAGCAGCCAACTCAAGGATAGCCCTGGTGATTGTCACTTGAAACTGTTGAATGAAATACTGACGCCTGCAAGAAAGACAATAACAGAGTTAATACGAGATATTAATAAAAATATGGGATATTTGTCCATAAAGACCATCTGAGGACCAAGTGGAGACACCACCTATAGGAAACCTATAGCAGGATTTTCTCCAGGTAGCTCACAGCTGGATCTGCCCTGCTTTTCATGTCACAGTAACGGCCCAAAAGCCCAGTGGTGATGCAGAGCTGGAAGCTGCACCCTTGAAAACTCCATAACACCAAAACCTTTGGGTTTTGGTCCCATTGCAATATGCAGATCCCTTTCATAACGACGTTACTGCCTCTCAGATCCCTGTACAAGAAGGGTGGGATATGCCTCTCTCTCTCTCGCTTGCCCACTCTTTTTGGCAAAAAGACTTCCCAGACCCTAAGCCACTCCATCACCACCTCGTAGGGACTTTGGCCCTTGGCAGCCTGCAGTATCTTTAGGAACCAGTTAAACTCAGCAATCAGAAAGCTCATGCATGGAAAAAAAACCCCAAAACTACGCATGGTTGGTGGGCCGGGGGGTTCGCAGGCTGCGCGGAGCACAACCAGCAAAGCACCCATCTCCTGAACCCCTTCCCACTCTCTTTTTGGAGGGTTACCATGTTCACCGTCCGCCCCATCACAACAGGCTCTCCCTATCCTGCTCCAGCCTGGCCCTTTAAGTAACTTGAGCCTCCGGGCTGCAAATCCTGGTCTCTAACTAAAAAGATGGAAAAGCAGTTTTCCCTCTTCCCCCTTCTAGGTATTTTCTTTAGAAAGTGACCTTTTCTTCCCCTTTCCCTCCTGGTGAGGAAAGATGGTTCACCAAGGGACAGAGCAGCTTTCAGAGCATCCCCCTCCCATATTGAGGCAAATTGGCAATTTCTCCACCCCGCAATGCTTCGGGCAGCATTTTTTTTTTTTTTTCCCCAACTTTCCACCCCTCCCATCAGTCTTTGGCAAACCTCAGCGCGTTTCCAAACCCTCCGTGGCTGCTGGGGGTTGGTGCAAAGGTTTAATTATTTGCTTTTCCTTGGGTGTGGAAGGCGGGGATAGGGAGAAGGTCGGGCCCCATCGCCTGACGCTGCAAATCTTGCCCACTTTTGTTGTATAGTCCCTCTCCCACCCCCCTTCCTTCCCCGTCTCCCGCTCAGCTCCCGGAGCCCACCATGAATCCGCAGGCAGTTTCAAGATTCGTTTGCCTGCTTTGCTTTTCCTTCATGAGCGCAACAAAAGGTAAGAGAATTTGGGCAGCTTTGGGTCCAGGGACACGATGGGGTCCAGATGCCCCGAGAGGTGGGATGCTCATCCCAGCGCACAAAGAGCCTCCTGGGGTTCACCATAAATGTAGCGTCTCCCTGGTCTCCAGCGGGGTGGGAAAAATTATTGGCACAACAATTGCAAACAATCTGAGCATCTCCTGAGGTGGGGAAATTTTTTGGGACTGCAAAAGTCCTCCCTGGGGTGGGGTGAGGAAAACCAGAGAGCTGGAGCTTTTTAAACTGTGCAGAAATGTAGAAACTCTTTGGTCTGACTCACAGAGGAAAGCCTCAGGGAGGGAGCTGGGTTTCCCTTGATTTCTTTCATTTGTTGTTATAACAGAAGTAGCTAAGCTAGAAAACATTTCAGAAGCTCAGCAAGTGCATCATATTTGCAGGAGAATTTCAAATAACTTTAGAAAATAGATTAGACTGATTATGTCGTGACACAGGCAACCCTCTCCTCTACGATCATATTCACATATGAACAAGAGAAGGGACTCCAAGGAATTCTATAAGTAAGATTAAAGCAAGGAGTGGGGAGCTAAAGCTGCCCCATCAATTTCATTTTGCCCCATCACAGTGTCAGTGATTTAATTAAGAATTGGCAGTTTTGATGGGAAACACATCGTATGAAGAGTATGACCCCTCTTCTCCCCTAAATAAAAACACAAGCGCTGCCCCAGTTAATGCACAATGCTGAAAAGACACCTCGAGACACCCCTCCTGTCTGTGAGCGAGCTCAGGAAACTTTGCTTCAGGATTAAAGCATGTTTCTCTGGCAGTTTCAAAAAGTCCTGAAGTCCTCAAGGAGGAATCCCACTCCGGCCATCGTTTCTAAGGCAGGACTGGAAACACAAGCAGGAATCAGCTGTCACCCTGACAACACCCAGATATCCCAACCGCGGACAACAATCATTTCCCATGAAAACCTTCCCATGCTCTCCTTCAAATGTGTCATCATCGTAGAATGGTTTGGTTGGAAGGCACCTTAAAAATCATCTAGTTCCACTACACCAGGTTGCTCAAAGCCCCATCCAACCTGGCCTTGAACACTTCCAGGGATGGGGAAGCCACATCAGCTATACCCACTGCTTGATGTAAAAATGACACTTCCAGGAGGCAAAGCAATGCAGGTCACAAACATCCCTGTGAGTCCAGGTCCCCTCTAGGATGGAGGATGCTGGCTGCAGCAAGTGGAGGGATGGAGGTCTGCAACCACGTACCTTCAACATTTGCACCTTTCCTTAGGGGACTTGCAGCCGCTTTCTTTCCAGCCTGGGACCCTGTATCAGTACCGCTATACCCTGGATGTCCAGCTGGACCACGGGTCCACACCGTCCCTGCGGGGAGCCTGGCTGCAGGCTGAGGCGTTGGTCCAGCTGCACCAGCTCTGGAAGGACCGAGGCGGGGAAGAGTTGCTCCAAGTGCAGGTACATGAGGTGGTAAATCCATCGCAGCCAGGTACTCCTCCTGGGAGCAGCGACACTGTCTTTCCTTACCCCCTTCCCTTTCTAGCCCAAGCCACCTGAAAAATGACCTCTGTGACTGAGAGGCCATCACCTGCAGGTAAAACGCGCAGCAGCCTTAGAGCAGATGTGCTTGGTCACGGCTTTCTGCCATCTCCTGCTGTCATAGATCCGCAACTTGAAAGCCCAACATGAGCCAGGAGAGGAGAGGAGCCAGGATGGCACTGGAGGTCCGTCCGCAGAGATTGCACTGAGCCAGGAGGCACGGGCAGAGCTCCAGCAGCCGGTGTTCATCTCCTGGAGCAGCGGGAAGGTCAGCTGGACACCTCCTGGGCTTGCTTATGCCCTCCGCAGAACACTCCTGCCTGTATCCCAAATTTTCCCATCTGCAAAGCCCTACAAATTCCTACTCTGCCTCTGATTTCATATCAGAGCACAAGGTACCGGACGGGGTGGCAAATGCAGGACCAATGTGACCCTAGATGCAGCCCCGTCCCCCAAAGGGGCTGAAGGCTTGGCTGGAGCTGCAGCATCCCATGTGAGAAGGGCCTCGGTCCTAAGTGTGGGATGTGAGCTAGCTTTCTAACCTTCTCCTCTAAGGCTTAGGAAAACCATTGGTGGGGCAGGGGGGGACAGGAAGGGAAAATCTGTGGGCATGCATCAACAAAGCCCATGTTGTTGAGGGATTTGGTCCTCCCTGTGAAAAAAATCTTTGGGTATCTGCAAGGAGTTGCTTAGGTTGCAGGGGAGATGCCCCCAGAGCCGTCCCTGCAGCCAGACACCACCTCTTGCTCTTGCAGGTCAAAGCCTTCTACGGGGACGAAGCAGAAAGCATCCTGATCTCCAACCTGAAGCGAGGCATCGTCAGTCTGCTCCAGCTCCAGCCCCACGCCGGCACCGCAGTGGAGGTAGGTGCAGAGCTGGGGCCAGATCCTGCCTGAGAGCCAGGGACCATGGTGCAGCAGGAGAGCTCAGCTGACGCCGTAGTGACCTGAGAACAACACGAAATAACCTCAAACCCCAAAACACAGGCACAAAGGTGCCGCTGCTGGTGTTAGCCTAAATTTGCAAAAGCAAATTTCCTGCCCAGATGGAGCTATCCAACACCCCCAAAATACAGCCCAGTTTCTAGCTTTTTGATTATTTTTCTGTTTATTAGTTTGTCCTTTGTGTCCATCCTCTACACAGATCGTTTCGTTCCAGCTCAATCGAAGCCAATCGCCCTTAACCATGGTCACTTACGTCTGTGTTTCAGGAGGATGTCTCCGGGAGCTGCCAAGTCACATACACCATGTCCAACCATTCTGTCACAAAGACGAAAGATCTCCTCAGCTGCACGAAGCCGAAGGCTGGATTCACCTCCGTAAACAAAGCAAGTCCATTGCTCTCGCGGTGGTGGGCTCAACTTGCATCCAGTACATCAGGGTTGTTCCCAAAATCTTCCTACAGATGGGCTGCAAGTCCCACTCCCAGCTGGCTTCAGCTTTCTGCACCAGCCTGGGATGGGGCTCCAGCTCTTAGACCCACACCCAAAGTGAGGTGCACCAACACACCTCAGGAGGAGCATATGGTTTCGAGGTGGGTAGGGGCAGAAAAGATGTCCTGGGTCATCCCATCCCCATCTTTGTTATCACTTCTGACCTGTCAGCTAATCCTGCTTGGAAAGGTGGAGATACAGAAATGTTTTCTAGACCTCAGACTCATCGGATTGGGGATTAGGTTGACAGGAGACAGGACCAAAGACTGCTGCTTGTTTCATTTAAAGCAGTAGTTTCTGTTCAGCCCTGACATAAATAGATGAAACTCTCTCTGTGTTAATGCAGTAACCCCTGCCATGATTAAAATTGATACTATAATATATATAAAAATATATACTACAATATATAGATTAGATATAAGGCAGAAATTTTTCACTCAGAGGGTGGTGAGGCACTGGAACAGGTTGCCCGGAGAAGTTGTGGCTGCCCCATCCCTGGAAGTGTTCAAGGCCAGGTTGGATGAGGCTTTGGGCAACCTGGTGTAGTGAAGGGTTTCCCTGCCCATGGCAGGGGGGTTGGAACTAGATGATCTTTGAGGTCCCTTCCAACTCTAACCATTCTATGATTCTATATATTTTACCAAATTCAAGTTTAAAGCAGACATCGCTGCACAGAGAGCCCACAGGCTTTGGCAAGGACCTTGACACCTAGCAGTGAAACTCTGCGTGTCCATATAATAAAAGCTTTCCGGGGTATGAATCGTGGCAAACTTACCCCAAAAATTAACAAAACCTGCACAGCACATGGTTTTGGCAATAGGGTTTCCCCACAAGCCTGCTGTCTGGATCGAGGCAGCTCTCTGGACCTTGCCTGTATCCATAGCTGTGACAGCAAAACGACGATGCTGCCCAGCTCTGTGAAAGACAAAGCCTACAGATAAAAAACTCTGTTAAAATAGTGATATTATTATTGCTAATGAGGTTTGCTGTCAAAAAACACCACTTGCACATAGTTCAGCTCTTCCCCTTTCCCAAGACCTGCCATGTGCAAGCCCAGCTGCTCCAATAACATCTCCCAGTGTGACCGGTGAGGTGAAGTCCAGCAAGTGCGTCATCTCTTTTGGAAGGTAAAAAAAAAATCCAGAGAGCTTCCCCAAGGCCACCACGCAGCACAGCAAGGAAGCTGAGCGTTTTTTGGCATGAGCTCGGTGGAAGTTGCTGTTGCTTAGCTTTCTCTTTCGCTTAGAGAATGTCCTTGCTGATGCTTGTCAGGATGAGGTGGGTTTTGGCATTGAGGGCCATACCTCTTCCCACACCGTGCAGCTCCATTGGGGCATCTACGGAGCCAGCGCTGTCAAATGGGCTTGAGGGAAGGGCGATGATTTGGGAGGCATCTATGTCCAGTTTGCAGTCTCCGAGCATCACCCACACCAGGCAGGAGCATCTCCTCCTCCTCCTGCTGCGGCTGAGTCAGGGTGACACCATCTTGTAATGAAAGAGAAAGTCCACATGGTGTCACCAAGTCCATCTCCCCACATCAGCCACGGGTGAGAGCATCACCATGCCATGGTCCTCACCTGGTGCTGCCTTCTCCCACATCTGGGAAGAGGTTGGGCTCTTCTGGATTTTCCTTTCCTACATTTTGCAAGCAAAGCTGGTGACTTTGTGGACTGGCAAGCTCTTTTGCTGCTAATAGAGAAGAGGAGAGAGGGGGAGAGAAAACGTTGCATCATTTCTCCTTGCTTTTCCTTTTTCAAGATGTTTGGAGTCCAGTGCCAGCCCACCAGCAGAAGCCAGTACATGGTGAAAGACAACCTCCTCCAGTGGGTGCTGGTGGAAGAAAGCCACGTGGTGTCTCCAGCCCTGAGGTCCACCACCAGTGTCAAAATCAGTTCAAGGTGAGCGATGACCCCGTACCACTGCCCGAACTGGGCAGCCTGGCATGGGATGAACACACATCTGCTGGAGTTGAAGTCTTGGCTGCTCTTCTGCACATCCTGGTGCAGGCAGCAAGGAGGACAGGGTTTTGACAGCCTCCCCCCTGCATCTCTTGCCTTTCCAAACCCACATGAACCCAACCAGCCTCAACCAGGGAGAGCATAAACAATGAAGCACTTCCCAATGTCTTCTTCTCCCTCCACAGGCAGCAACTCCAGCTAGTGTCTTCGGGATGGAAGGGCCAGCACCAGCCCCTGGACATGGCCAGCCTGCCCTTCAGAAGGGTCTGCACCCGCTGCCCATCGGTCAGTGACACTACCCAACCCCAAAACTCACTGCAAGCTCTGCCCCGCAAGCTGGGCACCTGGGCAGGCAGGAGAAGGCTGCAAGATTTGGGGTTAAACCACAGTGGTGCATTTGGAGGGGCTGGTTACTGCTGTTGCAGCACCAGCCCCTGGACATGGCCAGCCTGCCCTTCAGAAGGGTCTGCACCCGCTGCCCATCGGTCAGTGACACTACCCAACCCCAAAACTCACTGCAAGCTCTGCCCCGCAAGCTGGGCACCTGGGCAGGCAGGAGAAGGCTGCAAGATTTGGGGTTAAACCACAGTGGTGCATTTGGAGGGGCTGGTTACTGCTGTTGAGGCAGGATACGGCCCCGGGAGAGCCGTGGAGCAGCAGCCTAACCTGTTACCTCTCCTAAAGAGCGTCTGATGTTGCTACCTGCAGTGGAAGGACCCCTCTGTCCCCCAAGACATAGCAGCATGTCTGCGATGGGGGAAGTAACTTGGTGCACCACTGGCACATACAGTTGGGTTAAACTCACCACAGGTCTGAGGTCAGGAAGCGTTTCCACCACAGGTCAGACTAGCAAGGACAAGAGAGGGGTTATTTCTGCCTCCTCAAGTCCTCCAGGCTTTTGACCTCAGAAATCTGGAATTGCAATGAATTTCAGGCACCGGTGATGCTCACAGTTTCTCCTGGGGCATTTGGGCTTCAGCACAAGTCCTCAGAGGTGGGAGTGGGAGTCTGCAGCTGATGCCTGCAGGCAATTGTACGACCCCCATGGGCCCCTCCCGCTCCTAAATATTTCCCCGAATATAAACATTATCCCATGATTCAGGATCAGGGGTAAAAGAGGCTAAATTCCACCTAACGAACCTCATCGTTGCAGCTGAGAGCCTACCTGAAGGCTTTTGACAGCCAGAGAGTCAAAACGGACACTTCCAAGGCGGCAACCGCGTGGCAGTTCCAGAGGTTCATCCAGATGCTGCGCAGCGCCAAGAAGAGAGATGTTCTGCAGCTGCTGAGGAGAGCGCCCGAGGAGATGCTGTGAGATTCCCTAGAGCTCTCTTGCCAATAATCGGCTTTCTGTGCGCGTGGAGCCCTGGCACGTAGGGTCATTCCTGGCCCTGGCAATAAGGGTTGTTTGGTGCTGGTCCATGCATCGTACCTGGTCCAGGAAGCTGTCCTGACTAGTGCAAACATACTCTTCTGTACAAACACTGCATGGATTTGTTTTGGGGTTTTTTTTGCTGGTTTTGGAGCAGAGTGAGTGCTCCAGCAAAGCTTTCTGCTTTTTTTTTTTTTTTTTAACCCATGAACCAACAAACTCCCACGAGTTTTAAGGCCAGAGGAAAGCAGGGAGAAGAGAAAGGGGGGACAAGGAGCTGCGCAGGGTATCTTGTTTCTTCTCCAGGTCTACCAGCAGGTCGTGCCACTGATGACCTCTCTCCTCTGCAGCCCCTTCGTCGTGGAGGCAGCAGTGGCAGCGCAGTCGGTGGCATCCTTAGGGGCTCTCTCTGACTTCCTGGATTTGGGCAAGGAGCCCAAATCCCTGCTGGAAAAGTTTCTCTACGCAGCAGCTTTCTCTCCCCGGCCTTCAGGAGATCTTCTGCGCCTGGTGTTAGTAAGTACAGACGTTTCTCTCCCTCCCTGGGGGTCCCGAGTCCGGGATGGATACTCAGCCCATTTCAGCCAGGAGGGAAGATCAAGCGTATTTTCCTGAAAAAGGAAAATATGTTTCTGTAGAAATATATCTCCCTGCTTATGTGATTATTTTATGTGCTTTTAATGGGACGCTGGCGATGGGAGCAGATGCTCCTCAGAGGAAAAGCATTCAGCAGAAAGTGCTTTATATCGCTGCATTACAGATAATAAAAGTTTAATTAAAAGCCACTCTGAAAAATCAGCATTTTAGCCACTTAAACCATGCCTTGCCTCCTTCAAAGCAGGTAAGAACTTGGTTTTCCTTGTTTTTTTTGTTAAACGCTTTGAGATAATTAGTAAAACATACTCTCCATCTCTCTTTTTCCCTTTTATTTTTTTCTGTTTCCTAATACCCCTTTCCCGGTGCCCAGGACAAGCTGGATGGGAAGCAGCTGGCCCCTGAGGTCTGGGAGACAGGGATGGTTGCTGTGGGCTCTCTGGTCGGCAAGCTGTGCCAGCAGCAGCTGTGTGGGCTGCAGGTGGGTCCTCTGCAAACCCCCATGTTGGGCTTTTTTGGATACCCCCCCTCCTTCTTTTGGGGCTGCCCAAAACATCTCCTGTGCCTCCTCTCATCTTCCTTTACTTCCACATTCCTGCAAACCCTGAGCAGGAGGTGGAACGTGGGGTGGAAACCATCCTTGGGGGTCTAAGAGGTGCCAAGGAGGAGGCCAAGATGGTCATTTACCTGCTGGCCCTGGGGAACGCGGTGCTCCCCGAAACCATCCCCATCCTCCTGGACCACGCCGAGGAAGGTCCCGCCGCCGTCACCACCGCCGCCGTTTCTGCCCTGCGACGGTTCCCCACTCGGCACATCTCCGGCGAGGTATGGAATGAAGCTTCTGAGCCTCGGAGCTTCCTTCATTCGAAGCCGAGCCATCGGGGCACCAACGGAGCCGCCGTTTGCGTGTCGCCGCCCTAACAGCACCGTCTCGATCATCCTCCTGCACCAGGTGAAACGAGCGATGAGGAGGATTTTCCACGAGAAGAGGAAGAGCTACGAAAAAACATGTCGCCTGGCCGCTGCGGAAATCCTCCTAGATAACGAGCCCTCACCCATGGATGTCATCAACATCCTGCTGGCCACCAACGAGCTGGAGACGGAGATGGCAACATTTCTGCTGCTGAAGGTCCAGAACAGCCTGCATGCCCACCACCACCCAGCAAGGTGGGTCTGGAGGAGAAGGCTGTGGTTTTTTCCCCTCCCTCCCTTAGCTCTACAGCACTTAACGGTCTTAACAGACCCAGCACTGATGTTCTTCAGAGCTAAGCAAAAGCTGCTCAACAATATCTGGCTGGTTTTCTTAATAAAACAGAGGAGAGGGAGATTCCAGGGTAGCCCAGCAACCAAGAGAAATACTTTGGAAATTTATATTTGTGTGTGGTTATATATATTCTCACACACACATATATTTATATTTCTTTGTACAACCTTCTGTAACGACCACTGACATTCTGCCCTCCCAGTGCTGACGTACCCTTTCCCTTTTGCTTCCAGGGAGATAATGAAAGACATCATGAGAGACCCACGGATCAACAATTACAACTTCTTCTCGAAAGCTGGCATCTCCTCTTCTTTCTCAGGACCTCTGACAGGTGACACCACGGAGGACACTGATCCCATGGTCCCCTCGAATGGCTAAAGGAGGGGCTGTTCAAGAAAGACAGCTTTCAGAAGAGGTCTCAGCTTGACAGAAGTGCCCCAAAACCTCTGTGTGAGGTTCCTGAGCATGTTTGGCTGGTTGCCATCACCTCAGAGATATATACCTTTCTCTGACACCAGGAGGGTTGGGGCAGTGCCACATACTTATCCCAAATCCTGCTAATTTGAAAGGGGAACTTCAGCTGGAGATGAAACCCACGGTAGATTGTAGGTGAGAGTTTCTATGCTTCTCCTGATAAGTCAAGATACTCAGCACCGTTCCTCAGTTCCGTATTTTTAATAAGCTCTTCAAGGAGGAGAATCCTTGTGCTGAGATAAAAAACATCAAACTTCAGAGAGACTGCAACACTGGCACTCGCTAAGTATCTGCTTAAATCTTCACCTCTCATTTCTGTCCCTCTCCAAATTAGCTCGTCTAGCCTTGTAGGGGGCAGGTGGAGGCAGAAGGGCCAACACCTCGAAGAAGAATGGTGCAGCACTAAATCCTTTGATTATTGTGAGAATGGAAGGAGATGGTGCAGAGAAGCTTTCCCCTTTGAATAAATGAGCTTTATCAGATATTTAATGGCTAACACACGAGATCCGTGCAGTTCAGCCACGCTGACCACAGATGGGACAGCTCTACAGGAGCAGCCATACAATCTGTTGAGGAGGGTCGCTAACTAGAAGCTCTCAGAATCCTGCTTTTAGACATTCCCAATGACCTCCCGACTCCCACAATCAACCTGGACAAGCTCTTAAGAAATCACCCTGTCCCGTTGAGCGCTGACTCGGTGGCACCAGGCACAGGGGACGTGCTTGGCGGGATCCCAGCCTTGCACATCCCACCTACAGGCTCTGTATTTTCTCATCAGCCTTCATCCCTTGCTGCTGCTCTCAGGGCATTTATGGTTCACCACCATCAGTGATTCATTTGCAAAAAAGACGTGTGCCCAGGGATGCTTACGGGCATCTTCTCTGCCTTTCAGTCACCCGGGACCTGCTTTCCACCTTCGGGCTGGAC